GTCAAAAGTCAAGCAAAAATTGGACTGATATTGGGCACTATTTCAAGCACAATTTTTTGAGACGTAAATTGTACCTATAGCTCGTTCGATATTCGCGCACTGAGGTGAGTATGCTGGGCGTAGAACCTACGCCCAGCATACTCACTGAACGAAGCCTATAACTCCGAAGTTATTCGAGCACTGTTTTTTCTTTTTGGGCACCGTTTGGCACTATTTGGGAACTATTTTTTGAAGTATGAATTATGTTTGAAGCGTATACAGATTCTCCGGACGGAGGTGAGTATGCTGGGCGAAACCTTCGTCCAGCATACTCATCGAACTATGGCTATAACTTCGCAAGTACAAGAGCACTATTTTTTTCCTTTGGGCACTATTTAGCACTATTTCAGAACAGTTTTTTGACATTCATGAAATATCAGGATTCCATGGTGAGTATGCTGGACGAAGGGACACCAAGTGGTCACAAGTGCGACTGCCGGGCAAGCGGTCTCGGGTTCCATTCCCGAGCCGGGCAAAGTATTGCTGGGTTTAAAAAAATTCTTAGTGGTAGCACAGAGTCTGGAATCGTGCCCAGTATATGGCAATAGGCTCACCCGCTATGGCATGGGACTCCTAACGAAAAATAGTGAAAAGTGGGTGTTACATTGTACAGTGGCATTAAGTGCCGTAATGTGTATTGTGTACGTCTGCCTACCCCTTCGGGGGATAAAAGGCGCGATGTGATGACCTATATTAAAATGAGACTTCTTGTTCATACTCTAATATTTATGTAATCTACTTACTGTTAACAATAACCTTACCTTTGTTAATTAATTATAATTTTGAGAGAATTGAACGATTTACAAAGGAACATTTCGATGGATGTATTTTGAATCGTGTAGTACAAGTCTAGTCTTCATCTGTGTGATGTGATGATGACACGTTATATGTTTATCGTCTTTATCTTAATTTTTTTTATTTATTCTGAAGTGTTGCTGTGACTTATCAGAGAGTAAAATTCCTTCGCTTTAGTTGACACTATTTTAGTATTTTTGAGTACCTATTACAGAAATTTGCAGAAAAATACTTTCCTTAGACAGAATTTGATTTTTGTAATATTTCTAGACTAATAATTGAATGAGTCCAACAAGGATAATTTACTGAGTTTTAAAAAATCTAACCACTAGTATAGTGGTTAGATTTTTTAGTGCTGGAATTGTGCCCGGTATATGACAATAGGTTTACCTACTAGTACATGAGACTCATAACGTAAATAGTGAAAAGTGGGTGTTACATTGTACACTGGCATTAAGTGCCGTTATGTGCACCTCTGCCTACACCTTCAGGGATAAAAGGCGTGATGATGTTATGGATAATTTACGTAACTTCAGAAGGCAGACCACGGCACATTTTTGTTATTTATTAACAACTATTTACTCTTATTTTGTTTACAGGGTTGAAACTATTGCAGTACATGACTGGTATTCTGGTAATACAGTCTTATTTGGAGCCTATATTTAGACAAAGCAACTTCGTGTCGGGGCCCATCGCTAGCATCGTGTATGGGTTCGTGCAGTTGGGAGCAGGTAACGTAACATCTTAGAAACAAATATTATTTACTGTTGCTATTATTAAGATTAAAATTATTATTCTTAGGTACACTGTACATTTTAACGTTTCTCAATGTCTAGAGAAGCTCTTCTAGAAAAGTAATTATGTAATATACAATTTACTGTAGATATCTCTAAAGTCATATCTTCACTCATCCATATCAGAAAATTTTATTTTTTGTATAAAAATTACTTTTCTATTTCCAGGGATCGGTGCAACATTCTTATCAAGATGGTTCGGGCGGCGGATTCTTCTATCCATATCATGTCTCGGAGTGTCAATCGCAATGACATTGGTTGGCCTGTACTTCTTCCTTCAGGACACGATACAAGTCAGCGTAGAAACTTCACGGGCCATCTCATGGATGCCACTCGTCGGTATTCTAGGGTTCAATGTACTCTACGCAGTCGGTGTTGGAAACCTACCTTATGTTCTTCAAGCAGAATTGTTCCCAGTCAACGTCAAAGGTGTCGCTTCAAGTACAGCCACAATGTTAGCCTGTATCCTAAGTTTCCTAGTCACAAAATGTTACCAGCAAATGAAAGATGCTTGCGGCCATTACATGGTCTTCTGGTCTTTTGCTTTCATAGGGTACGTCGGCGTACTCTTTATATACTTCTTTGTACCAGAGACGAAAGGTAAAACTTTAGAAGAGGTTACAACTAACATACAAGACCAGCGACCCGAGGAACAAGCGCTGAATACGGAGAAGATTGAAAAGGCCTAAAGAGAAGATTATGCATTCCAGTATTTTAAACGTGAATGATATAGTGGTTATGTAAATGATTAAGTTTTCTGTTTTCCCGTGGCACTATTTGTTCCCATTTCATTTACCTATGAAGATGTGATATAAATAGTACAAAAATGGTCGCGTTTTTTATTATTTAATGAAAAATAGATGTCTCGGGAGAACAAGCTCATATTTATTAGGAGGCTAAAGAAATACACGTATCTGTCATTTCGTAAAAGATTACACTCCAAACGGCATTTTTGTTTTAGTAAAATTTATTGTTGAGAGTTTATTTAAACATACATTTACATGTGTAGTTGTGAAAAGTTGTTATTGGTTGTTTGTAAGCGTTAATAAAGAAGTTTATCAGTTATGATCTAGATTCTAGAATAAGTAGTAATATGAAAAGACTGTCTGCAGATCAAAATAAAAACCAAAATGTGACTATAAAATTGTATTCGGCTGAATAAAAATATGAAATACATACTGATTACCTGAACCTTATATTAATGGCACCCTATACAGTTTGCCACGCTTCCGGAAGATGATGTGGAGTCTATTAATAACTATACAATGATAGAACGGGAGTACACGAGAGAATAGACTTTGAAGTAATGTCTTTAGAGTTGAATATAATATTAGGTCTAAATTCTCTTGGTGTTTCCGTAGGAGTAGAGTGGTGCGAAGGGAGTGTCTGCTTGTTCGTCTCCGCTCTCCTCCGAGGCGTCCGACTCGAAGGTATTGTCCGGGATGTCGTACAGGCGGATCAGAGGCTTGTTGGGGTCCTTCATGATTAGATATTTACCTGGAATATTTAAAATTCACTATTTTATAGTTTGTTCTTAATAAGTACTTGTTGCTAGGAAGTCCATCTACTTGGATCTTTAACTTTATTTACAAAACAAAGTTAAAAACCGCAGTGGCTAGGCAACTGGTTGCTGAGCTGTGTTGCGGGTTCGATTTCCACACGGGACATCTATGTGTGATGTTTATGAGACCGTAGTGTGGGAGAAAATACTAGAGTGAGGCAACGTTAAGAAAATGTCATTATTATGAAATGTTTACCATCTTTCTGCTTCATACAGATGTCGATGATACACCGTAGGATGCCCCAAGCGTTGTCCATGGACAGGTTGATCTGTGCCGCAAACTCGTGCGGCTTGAACTGTTGCGTGCCGAGGATCACGTGGCGAGAGTTGTCACGCACTTGGGCACGGGACACGTAACCGAACTTAATCTGGTCAGAGCCCGCTAGAAGAGCCTGAAAAATTATAAAAATATTATTTTAGAACAGATTTCATACTATCTTTATACAGCCCGTTTGACAGTAGCCACTAACGCCATAGATGCTAACAACAAAATTAGAGAAAACTGGGTCTTATTTTTGTGTAATCTTTGAAAGCGATGATGCTGTTTACGTTGGAACTCGTCCGCGCATAAGCAACCTATCCTTATCAAGAAAGGTTTTTGCAGAAACTTTAATTACGGAAATATATTTCTTGCAAGATCATACCTGCACAGTCCACTTGGCAAGCTTGCAGGAGTTGTTCCTCAGCTCGTTAGCAAGTACGGCACCGCGTTGGGTGTCCAGTTTCTGGCGCCACTCCACTCCATTGGCCAGCTTGGAATCCCATTCGTTCAGAGCTTTGATGCTCAAAAACTGGGTCTCATTCTGAGGCCCTTGCATCACGGCGTCATGCTCGCATCGAGCTACCAAAGTCTGAAAAAATATATTATATAAGATTCTCCCGAATCTTTTGTAGCTAAAATGAATTCAAGCGCAACTGCTGAGCAAGATATGGTAAAATTTTATATTACATGGAACTTGTAGCTGTATTAAGTGGATGTTACATATTATATGATCGCCTTGTACAATATTCGAAAGTACTAGACTAACTTCGAGCCACATTGGGACTTCTAATCAAGAGACAATGAAGACGTAATCACATACCTTTTAGGATATTAAAATATTTACTGTTACATTTAGAGAAATAAACAACTTACCACTCCATTGTTAAGGTTCCACTTGCGGTAGCGGTACCCTACGGACGCTACCTCACCTTCCTCCTCCTCAGACACAAACGGATTTGGCTCGGGGAACTTGTACTTAGGCTCATTGGAACCATTCTTCAACACCTGCAGATTATAAAAAAAACATTACAAGTAAAGAAAATAATTATTATGTAACTATATGTATAACAACGTTATTTTGGTCGTTGGAAAGTTTTTAAAAACACAGTTCAATATGTTAATGTGAACCAAGCCCGTTAGTATTGCTGTCTTCAGAATACTAACTATATTCACATGCATAATGTACTACCTATCCCATTTGCGCATTACTTAGATCAAAATCGAATTATTAACATAAATGGTGATACAGTGTTTTATATTTTCTCATGTGCATATTTGCCTACTCTTCCTAAGATACAGCGAGGCTTATTATGAGTTTAATACTTGACTAACATAATATAACTGATGAAAAAAGGGTGTTACATTTAATGTATTTTGTGCACATCTGTTTGCCTATCCCTTTGGGAATTGAATGGAGTGATGTTTACCTAATCTGTGGTATGGAATGCTGATCTACAAGAGACACAATGTGTATTGTATTGTCTCATACTGGCACAGAAAAGGTTAAAGAATTTGGTATGTATTTAGGGGAACTGAGAGTAAAGTTCTCTAAGATCGGCAAAGGAGGATCCTTCGACCAGGCGAGGTGACCGTGCCTGACGGGCTTTCTGCCCAACAGTTGATCGTTGGGATTTTCTATCCGTGTTGATTTGCATGTGCGATGTAGGATTTTGGTGACGTCTTTGATTTGTTTTATTGATAGTTTATGTGCGTGAACTGTCATTTGTCATGTGATATGTGTCTCCACATGTAAATAAAAATGGTTACAATCTGACCTGTTGGCTGAAGTTGTGGTTGATGAATGTTGCTTCGAGCGCGAGGTTGCGCGGCGAGTTGATGGAGTTGCCATCATCAGTCGGCGGCTCCACCGAAGTCTCGTTCACCGTCAGCAAGTCAAATTCCGTGTTGTCACGCTTGTCGAAGAACAGCTTGTCACCTTTATGAAACAAAAAATAACAATTTTATGTCAATAAAAAAAAGAAAATGTAGTAATATTCACGACTGCTTTGTAGTTCGAAGGGTCGCAAAGCACGACCAGTAAGAAAGGGGTTGTGCGTTCAAATCCCTTCCAGAAAGAGTCATTTAACCTGTGAAGTGACGGACCACAGATGTGTTTTCTATTGTATCTCATATATCAACAGACAAGAGTTAAATCAGAGGTTAAGTAGAAAAAAGAAGGAAAGGTAACTATAACAGAATTTGTTTTTGAAAAGTGTTTTGTCCTTCAAGGGCCTCAGAGAGTGATTCTATAAATGATTTAAAATGTCTTGTTAAGTATTTGAGGTACATACCAATCTTCTCAATGACAATATCCCAGGAGTAGTTGGAGCGGGTGCAGCACATGATGGTGGCCAGGATGGCGTCGGTGGCGTACACCGTGCCCACCGTCTTACTGAGTCGTCGGATTACAGGGTCGTCAGTAGTAGTCACCTAGAACAACATATAAAAGAATCCAATGAAAATGTTTTAGTTTACCCATTTGTTGTTTTATTTCTTTCTATACAACATAGAGTACATAGTCTCATAACCCCATTGGATAAACATAATGAATTTAGTTGTTTCTACACAACCCAGGTGTGGTCTCTACCAAACTCTATGGAGCAGACTTATGTTTATTGCTGCTCAGCTCAAGCTAGTTGAGCTTGCATTGTGTAAAGTGTTATTAGAGATTTTCGATTATGAAATTATAATCAATAACCTTTGGAAAGTTGCAAAGAAATATTCACTCCTTGTGTCAAAAGTTTTATATGTATAGTGTATTTTGTAGTGTTGTGGAAAGTAATTACCGTATGGAAGATACGATCGATACGCTGCAGCGCTTTCTCGTGTTTCACATTGACACGATCGTAGCCTTTGTCATAGTACTCCAATGTACCACAGCACACAATGTCTTCACCTGTAACATGATCAAAATAGATAAGTTTCAGTGTGGTTGCAAGAATTTGAGTGTAGCACAGTGGCATGCTATTGAAGACCTATGTTCAACAGCGGACAGGAACTCTTGACTGACGGAAACAAAAACTGACTGCCTCGTCGGCCGAGTGGTCGCAGTGCGACTGTCGGGCAAGGGGTTTTGGGTTTGATTCCCGGGTCAGGCAAAGAACTACTGGGTTTTTTTTTAAGAAAATCTTAGTAGTAGCATGGAGTCTGGATATGTGCCCAGTATATGGCAATAGGCGCACTCTCTAGTACATGGGACTTGTAATATCAATAGTGAAAAGTGGGTGTTACATTGTAAGTACAGCGGAATTAAGTGCCGCAATGTGCACATTGCACAGAGGTGCCTATCCTTTCGAGGATAAAAGGCGTGATGAGAGCGAGACTCGCAGGAATAGTTAGTGTGACAAATGTACTCTGTTGGCACCACACATCTTAATAATCTAGTGTGTGTCATTGTAATAAGGGACGAAATTAAATATGATGTAGTTGGTGGAAACTACATAATTATATTGTAAATATCAAAGAATTCTTCTTCAAAATCAAAGAAATTAACTTGTATTCTATTAAAGTGTTCTATTCAGCTGAATAGAACTTTTTAATTCTAACCAGCCAACCAGTGGCGTAACTATACCATTTGTGGCCCGTAACAAATTCGTTTGATGGGCCCACATTGCCAATAAAAATACAGAGAAGTTCAGATGACAACCTCTGAATGGAACCCCTTCTAGTCAGGGGCCCATGGCAAAAGTAATTATTATAATATATTTTCTTTTAAACTTATAATAATGGTTCGAAGTAAAACTTCATTTACTTTAAGGTTTTCATTCAGTCATTTTTTAAAATTAGCTCAAGAGGCAGAAATAGGGATTGATATCTTGATAAAAATGTACCTACTCAAGCAAAGGATATTTGATCATACATTAAATTGACACTGTACCTTCTTTAATTCCTGGCAAAGACAACTTAGCGAGACGAGGGAAGTCCATGTCCTCAATGGTGACCCAGGTAGGTCTTACAGTGACGGAAGCATCACGGATCTTCATCGGAGCACCTCTCTGGCCCCACCTCTTGCCAAGTTTACGATCCCGTTGCTTAAAATAGAAGAAAATGAATGATTACCACTCCAGATCAAAATTAACATGTTAGCTGCCACTCGGGACAGCGGTGACCAGTTGTAGTGGACCACAGGTGAACCGCTTTTTGTTGTCAGTCATAGTTTTAATTTGTAAGATTTACTACCTTATTAAACATTGTTGAAAGTTTATCTAATAACAACATGTTGGCATGAAATATTATATAAATTAATATAAATATTACATAATATTGTAGCCACATATGTAAATCCTAACTAATATTGTAATTGTGAAAGTATGTTTGTTAGCTCATTATACCTCACCCAATTTGGTTGACATTTTGCCA